AGTGGTGTCAAGCCACACGCGCTTCGCAGCTGGGCTTTTCTTGTCGGTACGGTGCACCCTATCAGTTGATTCGGTAATGACCCAGCCTTCGTCCTCGACTTCTGAAACGGACTGCGATGCTGACCCACGTCTAGAAATAGGGTCGTCATGAGGGGATAGGAGCTCGGCCCGATGGTCGCCACTGGGCTTGCGATTGCTTTTTGCTTCAGATTGTCTGAGTAACGAGGGAGTGGGTCCTGTGCTCGGTCTCCTTTCCTCGGTACCGCTGTAATCGACTGTTGGCGTTGCGCGACCACTGCGATCCTCGTTGCAGCTGCTGCTATCCGCAAGGAAAGTGTCCTCCTGCTGAGTCGGAGCGGGAGATTTCGCGTGTTTCAATTTCAACTTCAGCTTGGGAATTCCTGTGCTGGTCATTTCAGAAGCTCTTAACTGCTCTCCTCGAGATGCAGGAGGTGTCTGATCGTCCCCACGTGAAGTTGACTTGATGGCGCGGACTGTTGCATCCTTGTGTGGTTTATAGTTTGGTGAGAATCCATTCGTAGAAGCGTCACCTGACTGCTCATCCCGCCCGTCTAGTGTTCTGTCACCAGTGCGCCCTGCGTCATTAAGGTAGGGGTTCATAACTTGTCGCAGACTGCTAACTCCGGGGCTGGGTTGTGGGGGTAGTACCGGCTTGGCTGGCTGAATAAACTCGAGAGCCGTGACGGGGGGTTTCGTGCTTTCAGAAATAGACTTCTTTCGACGCCGGAAGAAGGATGATGGTTTTTTGCCAAGCGTTGGTGGTTGTAGTGCTTGTGCGTCCCCTTGAGCAGGGTTGGCAGTCTGGGGGGCTTTTGGCAGCGATTTTATCTGGGAAGCAATATGGCTGCCATTGCTTGGTGTCGTACGCGGTCGTGCGGCAGAGTACATGGAGTTGACATCGGCCGGTTGGGGCTTACTGGAGACAGGGGCTGAATTTTCTTGTGACGGGTTAGGGCCAGCTGAGGCAGCAGACAGTTGTGGTGTAGACTTGGAAGAGCCTCCACCAAACACTCGGCGAAAGAAGCCAGGCTTTGGCGCTGCTGGAGCCTGGGGAGGGAACAGTGGACTTCGTGAAGCCACGGATGGCGATGGAGCAGAAGGGTCGTGCCATGACGGTACAGGAGGCAGTTCTCGCAAGGTGCTGGCATTGACAAACTCTTGGGCCTGGGCCCTCATGCTTGGTCCTGGCTGGCTCTTGTTCTTTCGCAAAGTTCTGTAGCTCGTGTTGGAGCGGACGCTGCCTCTACGGCCTGGCCGGGGTGCCTGCGGTGCGGCGTACGATGGCTGAGGGGGGAAAGCGAGGGGTGATTGCGGTGGCTCCTGGACTCTTCGAGGGCCGGCGGGAATGGTGGGCTCGGGGGCGGCATCGTATTCATCGGGGTAGTTTTGATAGGCGACCCTACCTCGGTCTAGGACAGACTCGACTCGCAAAGGCGAGATTCTGCCCCGGTCGCTTGCATTACTATGATCAAAACTGGCCGAACGCTTCCCAAAACCAAGGCGCTGGTTTCCCAAGATGCCAGACTGGCCAAAGTCGATGCTCGAGGAGCCGCTGCCCATGCTGCCCTTCTTGTTGTTGCCCCGTAGATGGCCGGCCTGTTGAAGCTGGCCATACTGGGCCGTGGCCTGCCTCCCTGTGTACATGTCCCGCGTGCTTCCCTTGCGGCGGACTGGGGTACCGATGTTGTTGCTGCTGTTGCTTCGACGGGCGCGCGAGTGGTGGGTTGTGTATCGAGAGTGGTCGTCGGGGTTCAGGTCGTAGTCGGAGGAGCGCGACGACGTGTACGTGTGGCCGCGGTGGCGGGCACCGGGCGGGCGGTACGAGTTGTCGCGGAGGAAGAAGTCGTCGTCGGCATAGCTGGAGTACTGCGGGCCTGAGCTCCCGAACAGATTGCCGGTCGCGAACTGGTCGAGCGAGAGTAGCATGTTGTCGACGACCGAGTCTCTCACATTGCCGCCCTCGGCGAAGGAAAGATCGTGAGAGTCGCGCAGCGGATCGTGCTTGGGATGGTCGTTGTTGAAGGCGTCTACGGGGGTGGCATCGTCGAAGAAGGTCTCGTGCTTGGGCTGGTCGGTGTTGAGTGCTCGCATGGACCCGGTTGGTCTGTAGGTTGTGTGGGAGCCAGTGGGCGTGGATGGGCGGCCATGGTGGTGGGAGTAGTCGGCCATGGCGGGCTGCCGGCTATGTGAATGAATGTCTGCGTCGAGGACCTTCCCACACTTGGGCACAGGAGCATTCTCCGCCGAGCCCAGACACGTCTGCGAGGGCTGTACGGCAGCAATTGGGAATCTTGCCGTGACAGAAGATTGCACGGACAGGTGACGATGCAGGTCAATGGCGCGATGCTGCTTGGGCGCGCCGTTCCTCGTTCCTGGGAAGCCAGCGGCTTGCGGCACAAGATGCTAGGGGTGGAGCAAGGCGTCTTGCAGTCGCATGACACGCGCAGAGGAACGTCGGTCTAAACTAACTTTACGAGAGAGCTGCGGGGGCTTCAGGGGTTCCAAACCGCGATGTTGGTGGTGTTGCAGGACGAGGCCGAAAAGAGCCACGCGCGAGCACTACGCAGGATCGACACAGGAAGCCTCGAACCCCAGGGGTAGTCGGATGGGAGAGAGTCGGACGCGGTCGCGCGGTCGCAAGACGCGTACAGAGTCAAAGGAAGCGCTGCTGGCCCCAATGCAGGAGAGAGAGAGGCAGCTAGCAACTTTTGAGATGGAGGTGCACAAGATCCAAACCTTGTCCCTCGCACCCCTGCACGCCCACGACCGACACAACCAACATGGTCGCGACTACGAGTCAAAATGTCTTGGACCCCCCGAGCCCTGACCAGCTCCCACCACGCCTGCGAGCGACACTGACTTGCAAACACTTCCGAACCACTCGACCGCGCCTTGATAGGCCGGCTCACGTGCCTGGCCTGGCCACCGCAATATCCACGACTGGTGTTTCGCGTCACCAAGTACAGAGAGGTACCCATTCCCGGGGGGCTGCAGCAGGGCTTGAGACAACGGGTCGCGCCTCCTGCGGGCAATCCACAAACTCCGCTTTCCTGCATGCTTTGGCTCTTTTGGCCGCCAAGCTGGTGGAGAAAAGCATCGCTGGACGTGCTTTTGCCCAACGGCACAAGTCTACACCGTGGAACCCCTGAGGGACAACTCATCACAACCACAGACACGTTGTATACTAAGCTTCGCTAAGCGGTACACATCTCCGAGTCTGCACATGTGCCCTGCAAAACTCCCGCACACAGGGAACATCCTTTCACAACCCGCAAACGTCTTACAAGCTGTAGTATAGACCTTCTGCTTCTGGCCAGCTGCTCCACTCACTTAAGATGAATTTCATATCTCGAGTAATCCACACGCGCACTTTCCTTTGTCGCGCCGGCTATATGTTTACGGTGCATCATTCCAATATACCAAGACCGGACCGGCATACTGAACCAACCATCAGTCGTGTATTGCGCTTGCTCGCTTTATCATGCACCATTCGTCACATTCAATAGCCCCTGTTGTCGGACCTCTTGTTCTTCTTCACAGCTAAACTTACCGCACTGCGGCCAAATGCTTTTAGGAGGGCCCGGCGAGAAACCATGTCCGTTCACGATAGCCGAAACTTTATACCCTCCACGATCGCTTTTGGTGTCCGCGCCACAACTCAACAGGAGTAGCATAGCATCTAGTGTTGATTTTCCAAATCAGCACATGCTTTACATGCAGTTTGTACAGATATGTTTACGCCTGCATACGTACTTTCACATGTCCAACTTCTGGGTGCGTCTTCTGGCGTGAACCCTATCCTTGGCACGTTAGAATTGAGAACGGCAAGCGAGCAACCACGCCACCCATCTTCCAAATACTGGTGCAACGAATACCCCACTATCACGCATCTTAGTAGTTCCTTGCACGTGAATGCCACTCGCTATCCTCGATATCAATCTCGAAACCCTTTTTACCCGCGGCTGCTACCCCACACATACCTCCCTTGCGATAAGAACAACGTCGAACGCAATTCGACTGGGTTGTGAAACGCAATGCCTAGCAGGGGTCTTGTCTAATCCGCATCTGCATCAACCTTCTTGATACACTATGATGTCGTACCTGAACCTTACGCTACCGCCGGGTCTCGTTCCGTGCCGTCAATCCATCAGCCCTAGCTCGCAAGCAAACCTTACACAAGTACCGAGACAACACAAATGAACACTTGGTGGTTGCCTTCCAGGGGAAAGTTCAACGTTCCCACATACTTTAGTATTCTAGACCCTGCCACGCACTTTGGCTTTTGTGTAGCCTTTGACAAATTGTAATAAAGTGGCAAACCGAGAAGACGATCCAATTGAGTGAATCAGTTTGAAATATTGGCAACATGTGCTTTGAGGGCGTTGTAGTTCCCAGCTGACCGACGATACGCCCTGAAATACGTTGCTTGTAAGATACAAAAGACCCAGCAGGATTCATACTCTTCCGAACATAGGATTCGGGAAGACCAAATCTGTAGGAAACTCCTTGCCCTCCGAGCCTTCGTTATGCCAGAGTTCTAGACCAACGCTGCATTTAGGAAAGACTCAACCTTCCACCGAGCTAACGACCATAATCTTGGTTCTTGCAGTCGGCTCGCTGTATCATATGAACATGCATTTTCGCATGGGGGACGTAAAACTTGGCAATTTCAGAACAATCGAAGAGAGAACCAGTCACAATGCAGTAATTCATATCGTGTTGTACAAATATCTTGGTACCGTCCTTCATACGCCTTGTGCGACATTCAGGTCAGTCGCAAAAAGAAGGCCTCGAGATCCAAAAACATACAACAGCGGGGATTCGCTAGTGGTCACCCACCTAACTACTAATCCGCCGGTATCTTGCTTAAATAGGGCTGAGCGAACGGGAAGCCTTGCTCTCAAGATCCTATGGTCGTATGTGGAAGAATTGGTAGGTTATGGTGGTTCTATCAGCAGCGGTAACCCCATACTCATCTTTCACTCTGTCCGATCTTGCGCTGACCACTGTAAATCCGGAGTCGAGAACGACGGAAAGGCAAAAGGCGGGATGATCATGTTGCCTGCCCCAACCTCAGCACCACCAAACATCTTCTCGACGTCATTCTGCATAGTAGTCAGTAAGGGTAGTACAGTGGGAGAGGATGTCACATACCCAATCGATATCATTGATGGCATCCAAGTCATTACCGAATGTTGGCCTCCCAGCCATCCCATCACCTCTGTAAATAAACGAGTTGGGACTATCGGCATCGCTTCCACCTTGCTGTGCAGCACGGGGCACCAAAGAGCAATTGGTGGGTGCGATACCACCGTAAGGAGACATGGGTACAGACGCTGGCATATCAAAGGTACCCCAATCCGAAAGCGGTATGGCACCAGGGAATGTGTTGACCCCGGCTGCTAATACGGATCCAGCCGGTGGGCTTTGCGGTCGTGGTGGCGGCGTGCAGTTTTGCGTAACCATGTTTCCGTTCAATAGATGTGAGAGAGGACCAAGAGTGCTCAGGTTCGATTGCGTGCTTCCACTACGCTCTCTATCTTCCCTCTGCACTCGTTGTCTAGGCTCTGAGCACGGTTGTGGCATGTTGGACGGGACTCGTACTCTTTTCAGGTTTGAGTACTTCCTCGTTTTTCCGATGAGTTCTTCCAGGACCATTCTTGTCTTCTCGACATTGGGGATGCCTGGTGGTAGTTTAAACGAGTAGTCTAGACACCTCCAGATACGCTGTTCCATGGCGGGCTCTGGATTCGCTATATAGATCTCGTTCACGAGGAGGATCGCGCAGTGGTGTTGGTGGAGGGCCCCGACGATCCATGACCAGGAGGATAGGGCGGGGTGCAACTCGACTGCCATTCCATGTTCTAAGATCATGGTTGCTGCGCTCATGGTCAGCTGCCGTAGGCGCTCCGGCATCCTGCTGCGGGCAGAAGTGATATACTGCTGTAATACCGAGATATAGAGGCGATTCGAAACGATACCATATAGCTCTGACGCCAAAACATGTAACAACTCTGAGCGGTCCAGCATGGGGACGTACTTCTTCTCCATAGCAGACTGAAAAGACTGAACACGTGACAGAATGGAGGTGATTGTGATTTCGCGTTTCCCGTCAGCACGCTTACGATCGAGTTTTGGTCGCTCACTCCAAAGAAAACGATGCATCTCGTACGCTTCAAATCGCATTCGACAAATCGTCATGTCGGTAAAGTATTTACGATCTTTACTGACGTTTACGCTGCTGTCACCATGCTCGGCACGGTCGAGATCAATGTCATCAATGTTCAGTGGGAAGCGGGTATCATAATCCTCGAGCCGAATCTGTGGACGAGGGCCAACAGCTTCGCATGTCCGGAGATCCAAGAAACAGATTTGATACCATAAGAGGCGCCGTACTTGGATCTCGACCGGTGAGGAACTGTACGCTGTTGGATCCCGGTGCAAACCCATGCACTCGGCTAAGCGGATAAGTGATCCGGTGAGCGCAGAGTGTGAGCGGGATACTTCATTGCGACAAAGGGGGATCTATAAACAGATGTAAGCTTAGTCTTATAGACTTGAGCGGCAAAAGCTAGGATGTAATACTCAGTTCTCTCTGGGAATTTGCAGACTTACAAGGTACATCACAAATGCTTGGAGGGTCTCCAGTTTCGTAGTGCGGAGGAAGTTGGCTTTAGCAAGTGCTTTTTCGGTTCCTTCACGGAAGCTGTCTACCATTGTTCGTTTTTCCATGCCAAACTTGACGCGCACCTCACCCTCAGTCATGGAGACGACTGAGCTTAATAATGCTGCAAAGAGCACGGCTTGGAAAGATGAACGAGGCTCCGTGCCCATGTTTACTCTGATCCAGAAGTTCTGATACTGTCGCTCGAATGAAGGGCGATGCACTGTTCGGGCTACAATATGAACAAAGTTCCAATAGTGAGCGAGCAACTCGTCAACCACCATTCGTGAGGGCAGATGAGCCTCAAGATATGTTTGATCGATTGTCGATGTCAACATGAAATTTGAAGACGGGGCAACGTAATCCTGTGTGGGTGCTAACCAATCTGCAGGATCCTCTCCAGTACTAATCTGAGGAGGGTATTCTGAATCTGGCAGCTCATTAAGTGCCTGAGTAAGCTAGTGCAGCTCTGTCAGTATAGGTGTGCATGTCAAACAAATGTGAACTCACTTCATCGGAAAATCTTGGGCGCACAAGTCCTCCAATGCGTTCTGTGATTCTAATTCGGCCCATGCGAAAACCCAGATCGTCTATATCTTCATTAAGGTTGACATCGTCGTCGGGCTCATAGTAAGTGGCATCTTCGGTAACGAGATGCGTCGGTCGCAGATTTTGAGTCTCCTCATCGTCTTCTTTGTCGCTAGACTGCTCTTGGCCAGGCAGTGCGCTGACCCTGGAAAAATCAGAAGGGCTTCGAGTATTTGCTTCCGTTTTGCGTGCGACATCTTCTTCGAGGCTCCTCTCCAAACGGCCCATCTGCTCCTTCACCTCAGCGAGCTTTGCCTGGGCGTTTGAGTCAAGCCCGGAGGCGATGAAGACGCATTGACGTGCGTTCTTGGTGCAGTGTGCACACGGATGACATTTGTCACATTTTAGTTTCCGACGCCTACACTCGAGGCAAGAAGTGATGAGCCGGTTGCGACGACGAACGCGCGGTGGCGGCTGATGTGTCGTCTTATCGGCGACAACTGGTGGAGAAGGTTGAGAACCATTTTGGCTCGGCAACGATGGGCTGGACATGTCTGAGGTGTTGTTACAGCCAAGTGGTGGAAGGATCGGTTCCTTACGGACGTAAGATCCCAGACTCGTACAGCTTGTGCAGCGATTAGCGAGACGGAAGGTACTAAGCAGGGCGCATCGTACTTTAGTAATAGTTGGTTGCCTGTCCTCTACCTTTTCGACAGCTAGATGATAGTGCAGGCGGAACTTGATATGAGACCTAGGTAGGAATCGGGATTGCTGGATGGTGCAGGTACCCAGGACTCAGACTGTCAAGCAGCTGCGGATAATGTCAAACCTCTAGAAAATCGTGCGTTTGGAAGTTCTCCTCCTCTTCCCTGAATCACAGATGCTTGGACGACTGTTTCGTGGTGACTGTGTTGGCAGCTTTATTGCGACCTAGTAAGACCGTCAGCCCCACCTTGGGTCTTCGTGAAGCACTGACTATGGCTGATTAGTCTATGTCAGCGTCATTGGCTCAGTCCCATGTCCCACCAAACTCAATCTACCTTGGTTGCAAAGACGAGGCTGTGGGCATGACAGTGGAAGCTTCCACGTGGCTTGTAGTCTCCAGGCATTTGTCAGGCATGCACGGAGACTATGGGCTATATATCTCTGAACCAACGCCTGCGATGCAAAAGCCGACCATTATGAGATCTGGCTCAATGGTATCCCTCAACACTACACAGAGAGTCGTGCATCAAACCAAGGAGATCGTGTTGTCCTCCAACCAAAGACTACGTATAACGTTGACCGTATTTGCGACGTTCCTGGAGCCAGTGAGGCTAATGCAGTTGACTGGATCCAAGTCTCGCTACTAAGTACCTACCAAGGTCAATCAAGCACGAAATCTATCGTAACATGGGTAATTGGTAGGCTCGGAATCAAGCAAGGAACGATGCTACGCCTGATCAGTTCGTCTCATTTGTTTCCAGATGCGGGGGACAAAGAGCATACGACCTCGACGCGAACGCGTAACGCCTGGTCACGTTTCCAAAGGACGCGACCCGCGACAGGCCTAAAGACAATGATCCACTGATCGTTGCCGCCGCGATCTCTCTAACGCACGTCCTCACCGCTTCCATAACAAACACCTTTTCCTGCCGCCTTTTGCAGAATCCCCACCACGCACGCCTCTCGACTCCCAAATCCATCACATTACCCAAACCAGTTGTACCACCTGCGTTTGTTCCCAATCAATTACCCCTCGACTCCAAAATGTCTGTCGTTTCGCTCCTCGGTGTCGAGGTTAAGAACAACCCCGCGCGCTTTGACGAGCCATACGAGTTTGAGATCACCTTCGAGTGTCTTGAGCAACTACAGAAGGGCAAGTGCGCCCGAATGTGCATATTCGCCACTGTCACTAATAAATTCCAGACCTCGAGTGGAAATTGACCTACGTTGGCTCCGCGACCTCGTAAGACCACTCCTGTATCCCCTTATGAACACGTCTGATCAACATACTGCAGAAATGAGTACGACCAAGAACTCGACTCTGTCCTCGTCGGTCCTCTCCCGGTTGGCGTCAACAAGTTCCAATTCAAGGCCGACCCCCCCAACCTGTCGCGCATTCCCAACAGCGAGATCATCGGTGTCACAGTCATTCTGCTCAGCTGCAGCTATGATGAGCGCGAGTTCGTGCGTGTCGGATACTATGTGAACAACGAGTACACAGACGAGGCGCTGGCACTCGACCCGCCTACCAAGCCCGTCATCGAGAAGGTGCAGAGGCAGATTCTTGCAGAGAAGCCACGAGTCACACGCTTTGCCATCAAGTGGTATGTTCAAGCACAGACAGCTACGTTCCTTTGGCAGTACTAACCTTGGTAGGGACTCCGACGAGTCTGCACCCCCTGAGTTCCCCCCTGAGCAGCCAGAGGCCGACCTCACCGCAGACGGAGACCAATACGGTATCGAGGAAGAAGAGGAGGAAGAGGAAGAGGGTGAGGGTGCTGCCGCTGAGGGCGAGGATGCTGCCATGGCAGGCGCCGAGGACACTGCAGGCCCCGCCAACGACGAGGATGCCGAGTCCGAGGCCGGCAGCGAGGAGATTGACATTGAAGATTCAGAAGACGATGAGGAGGAGGAGGGCGAGGAGGGCGGCGATGATGACATGGAGATGGATGAGGGGGAAGCAGGCGCCGCCAACGGTGACAAGCCAGCCCAACAACAGCCCGGAGGTGCCCCGCAGCAACAGTCTGGTGCGGACGTGATGGTCCACTAGATGTGCCTTTATCCTTGTTGCTTGCATACTTCATCATCGCGGATGCCTCGAGCAGTAAGCGATCTTCGCCGCCTTGTGGTTTCATTCCAGATATGTATACAGTAGCTGCAGTGTCGCTCTGTCAACACGACTTCGTCTTCGTCTTATCACGAAGGAGTTGAATTACGAATACCCTATTGAATTTGTAGCACATCATACGTGACAAACTGCGTGCTATGACAGAAACCTTGGTGATGAGGCTTGGATGGCTAGAACGTATGCAGCCGCGCAAGCCATTGCCGCATTTCGTCTCCGTCCTCACCTGGTGGATCCGCCGTCAGATCCGAAATTGTTACGACAGGCGTGCGCGACCGAAAGTGGTGGTTCAGAGCAACGTCAACGTCACTGCACAGCCTCGAAGTGAATGGCACAGTAACGTGAGCTCGGCGGCTGGTTTCCGAGACTTGTCGAAACATTTATAGTAGCTGTGAACGACAGGCGGGTAAAGGATGACATTGTTAACAAATGCCGGTCACCACCTCGAGGGACCATCCACTCCTTGTTCTTGTGACCTTGGAAGCGCACATGTATGCAAGCTGGAGAGCTCACTCGGGCCTCAACGTCAAACAACGCACTTTTCACTCCCCATATTCCTAGGACTGCCGCGATTACTTCAGCGTCTGTTTCAGTAGCAAACAGCCTGCTCCGCCGTTTCGAATCTCTCCTGAACCTATTCTTTTCCGCCTGCGCCACTCCTCATCCGCTCACTGCCGCCGCCTCCGCTACTTATACCGCTGCCTCTGGCGACATACTTGATCCATATACGACTACGAGGGATCGACGGCTTTCTCGTATACGATACCCGACAGATCGCAAGGGTTGTCGGCGAGTTCGCATTTAGCGACGGCGATTCAGGGACATACCCCACCAAGTTAAGGTACGTGGTACGCTCATTTCCTGCTCCACGCGTCACTCGGCATGCATGGCGGCCTCGATGACTGCTTCGCGGAACGGTCCTTGGAACCAGGCGGCAACCTGCATAGAACGCTGTTTCTCTTGGACAACGGCTGACGCCTACATCTCAAGCATCACAGCGTGCAGCAGTTGATACCCTATCGCAACATCATAATGAGCTACCACCAGGGCCAACCCCAGCTCGGGGCGACTTTTGTGCCAGGAGGCTTCGATGACTATTATATGCCGGCTCCTTCGCCTGAAGTCATCTCGCCTGCGCCTCAGCGGTTCGTTCTAGCCCATCACCATATGCATGCCCTGAAATTGCGGCTGACGTAGGTTTGGCGGTAGGATAATGCCCGAAGTGCCCGAGAACATGCAAGAAAACATCGCGCATCTGGAGCTGGAAGCCAACGGCCCTCGTGGTACCAACGGCGCCATGTCACCCATGCAGGGCTACAATCAGTCACAGCAGAACTTCCCGCCGCGACAGGCGAGCTACCAGAACGAGCTGCCTGTCCACAACGATCAATGGCCGGCGCGGCAAGCGAGCATCTCCTCTGCCTTCCGGCAACCACCAAACGTGCAGCCTCAGTCGGTGCAGCAGCAGCCGTCGCACGACTACAACCAGTTCGCCCAGAGCCACGACTCGCCCAACTTCTCCCCCTTCCCCAAGCTTCCCAACAAGCCTCCGAACGTGCCGCCGTCCGACGATGAGAAGGAGGCTGTCCTGGAGAACGCCCGCTTGCCGGTGCTCAACTCGAATGATCCCGAGATGCAGCTGGCATGGGCACAAGATGCACTGCAATATGTAGACGCCGCGCAACTGCACGAGCAGCGCATTTCAGAGATCCAGGGGGCGAGACCGGCCACACCACAAGTCGAGCACCAGCTCCGTCTGGACGCGATGAACGTAGTCACCTTCTTGGCGGACCAAGGCCATCCGAAAGCGACCTTTATGCGGGGTATGTGGCTAGAGTTTGGCAAGTTTGGCATGCGCGCAGACAAGAAGGAAGCGTTCAGATGCTACTCCCGCGCGGCTGCAAAGGGATACGCAAGGGCAGAATACCGCATGGGCATGCAGTTTGAGCAGTCGAATGACCCCATCAAGGCTCTGCAGAACTACAAAGCTGGCGCCGAACAAGGCGACTCAGCCTCCAACTACCGTCTTGGTATGATGACGCTGCTCGGACAGCACGGCCAGCCACAAGACTTTGCAAGAGGAGTACAACTGATCAAACTGGCTGCGGCCACTGCCGATGAGAATGCTCCACAGGGTGCTTACGTGCTGGGTATGCTTCAGGCGCGAGAACTGCCCCAAATCAACGTGCCCGAGATGTTTTTGCCCTACGATGAGAAGGGCGCCAGACAAAACATAGAGAAGGCCGCCTATCTCGGGTTCGCAAAGGCTCAGCTGAAGATGGGCTCCGCCTACGAGCTCTGCAGTCTGGGCTGTGAGTTTAACCCTACGCTGTCGTTACACTACAACGCACTCGCATCAAGGCAGGGTGAGCCCGAGGCAGACATGGCTATCAGCAAATGGTTCCTCTGTGGACACGAAGGAGAGTTCAATAAGAACGAAGAGCTGGCGTACCAATACGCACAACGTGCCGCAGCGGCTGGCCTCGCAACAGCAGAGTTCGCCATGGGCTACTTCAACGAGATCGGCATGAACACGCCGGTCAATCTTGACAAAGCCTTGGAGTGGTACGAAAAGGCAGAGAAGAACGGCAACAAAGATGCGACTGCACGTATAGAGAGCATCTCCAAGCTGTCACGGACGCTGTCAAAGAAGGACCATGAAAACGTCGCTATCAACATGATCAAATCGAAGCACGGCTCCATGCGAGGGCAGCGGCCAGCGAGACTGCAAAAGTCACATGCTCCTATGCCTTCTATCACCGATATCAGTCCTTCTGATTACGGCGATACCTCCCCAGCCACCCCTACAGGTGGTCGCCATCCGCCAAGAGGCGATAGTACAACGCCGTATCCTATGTCTGACCAGCCCCCAATGATCTCGAATGGCCCCATGTCGGCTCCCTACGACCGTCCCTCTACAGCAGCGCCATACCCTATGGACAATGGCCCTCCTCGACTAAGTCCACAGCGGCCAGGTATCGCCGGTGGCTTTGCGCCAGAGGTGAGGGCTTCGAGTGCTCGACCTGCATCCTCAGCATTCAACATCAACCCCAACGTTTATCCTCCAAATGATCCTTATGGACGCGGCAGTCCTCGACCTAATCCCGGTCCTGGTTACGACATGGGTCCGATGCCAATGCGTCCTCATACGAGTGTGGACAACATGGGTCCAGGACGTGGTGGACGTCCTTCCAGCGGTGGTCGTGGTGCGCCGCTGCCAGCAGGAGGACCAGCGAGTTACAGGCAGCCGGGAGGACCGAGCGCTCAACGTCCAGAAACCCAGAACCGCCCATCGACGACGCAGCCTCCTGATATTGGATACAGTGCGCCAGATGGACGTAACAAGCTGCAGAAACCGACAGGGGCGCCACTCAAGAAAGCGCCCACACTGCCAGACATTGGCTACGTCGCGCCTCTCGAGCCCCGCCAGCACACCCGCCCATCTACAGTTCAACCAGGTCAGGAGAGTAGGACTTCTTCACGCATGGATAGACCCTCGACTACTACACCCGGTCAAGGCTCCCGACCCTCATCACGGCCAGGCTCCTCTGGTCGTCCTAGCGGATACGACAACATGCCCAAGCCTCATAGGGTACAAACATTGCAACAGCAGCAACCACCTCCCAAGCCTGCGCCAGTGCAAGCAGGTAAGCCGGCGACGCCTACACCACCTAAGCCAGCGCCATCAGCTGCTTCGACACCAGGCAAGGGACCAAAGACGTTTGATGAGATGGGCATAGGACAGGCGCCTAAGGACAGCGATTGTGTAAGTTGCATTACCTCTGTTGGTGACCAAAAACGCTTGCTGACGTATCTCAGATTGTCATGTAGATTGAACCGTGCTGGCACGGCGCAATACTCAATGAATTTTGCATAGCGGAACATCTTAATCTTGCATAATAGTGAACAGTCGCAGTACTGACACTTGATATACCCATTTTTGGAAACACCTGAGGCGGCGTTGGTGATTGTCTAGTATAGAAAAATTCCAGTCGCGAAATGACATGACCCAATTTAGTGCCATGGCTGGACGTTCAAGTGTGATGTGTGGCTGCAGGCCAAGTACGTGATCGTACCTAGCTTGTGAGCTGCTTCTATTCCAACAACATGTATTCTGACTACACACAGATGCCTTGCGGTTTGGAGCGTAGGCATCCTGACGCGCGTAGAACATGAGCCGCTGTAGCACCGCGATGTCGCACTACGTTTTAGAGTAGGTGGGATGAGATGGCACCAAGGCAATCACGCGGTGACGCGCTATCACGTGTCAGGGTCAATCGTAGTTGAGTTGAATCGAACTGTAGTATGCACCATCGCCAACCCAGAACTGTCCTATATGATTCATCTTCGCTCAATACCATTTCGTCCCGCCTGTACATCGTTTGTGAATTCTTATATTACCGCGTCAATGTGAGATCGCCAGGCACGGGCACTAGCGCGGTTCCCGAACGGTTCAGTGGGGGAGGAGCGCGTTCTGAACTGCCTCGCCTGCAAACGCTTACCAGGCCCCTACAACTCAACCGCGCCCCCCAACTCTTTCTCTGGGATTGGAGTAGCTGCAGTAATGTCTGCGAAGCGCCCTCGCGCTCTCACAGATGGGGTTGATCCTAGCGGCTCAGGTAGCAATAGTCGCGTACATCAACCGTCCCAAGCCAGCACCAACACATATGCTAACACTGTCTAGGGCAAACGAGCCCGACAATCTGAATCCCAAGACAGCGACCAGTCAGATGACGAACGATCCGACGCGGCAAGCGGCAGCGAGTCACCCGATGATGAAGGCGAACAGACTCGCGAACATGAGATATGGGCAACACAGCAGGTGCAGAGAGAACGCCAGGCGACTGCAAAACGGCAAAACGAACCAACTGACTCTGGCATCATCGAGGAAGTTCAGTGTATCAACTTTATGTGTCACGAACATCTAACGGTGACCTTGGGACCTTTGATCAACTTCATCATCGGACACAACGGTAGCGGCAAGAGCGCAGTGCTCACAGCAATTCAGATTTGCCTGGGTGGAAAGGCGACAGCCACAAACCGAGCCCAGAACCTCAAGAGCCTCATCAAGGAGGGCAAAGAGCACTCCTCTGTGTCTGTCAAGATTAAGAACCAAGGGCCACTCGCTTACAAACCTGCGCAGTACGGTGACTCGATCATCGTCGAACGACACTTCAGTAAATCCGGCACTTCGGGGTTCAAGCTCAAAAACGTAAATAACAAACTTGTTACGAACAAAAAGGCTGAGCTTGAAGACATCCTGGACGCGTTCTCTATGCAAATTGACAACCCAATGAACGTGCTAACGCAGGACATGGCAAGACAGTTTCTGAACCACTCGACATCGAAAGACAAATACAAGTTCTTCCTGCAAGGCACGCAGCTCGAGAATCTTAATAGAGACTATCAGCAGATCGAACAGTCTCTGGAAGTGATGAATGCAAGAGCAGAGGTCAAGGAAGCTGACCTTAGGGTCCTGAGAAACGAGATGGAAGTGCTGGCGAGAAAAGCTAAACGCGCGGCAAGTCTGCAGACCATGCGAGATAAGGAAGCGGAGCTCGCCAATCAAGCAGCGTGGGCGGCTGTCCGGGAGCAGGAACAAGAGGTGGAAAACAGTTTAAAGGAAATCACGAAATGCGATGAAGTCATACAAGGGCTACAAGGGGACGCAGAGAAGGCAGCAGAGCGTTACGAACAAGCAGATCAAGCCTGTGAAGCTGCGAAGCAATCTGTCACTGATATTACAGCTGATTTAGAGCCTGCGGAGCAATCGTTACTTGAGGCCAGAGGGAAATTTCAAGACATCAGAACGAAACTCCAGCAACTACAGCCTGATGAACGGAATGTTCATAGCGAGTTGAAAGCAAAGAAGAAGAAAGTGCAAGATATCAAAGCAGAGATCGAGCAATACCGACGACGACAGGCTGAAGCGGACAATGGTCGTCATGCCGAGAAGGCTCGGGAGTGTGAAGAAGCCAAAGTACAACGCGACAATGCCAGGGCTGCGTTCGAAGCCCATGATACAGGCCTTTCAGCTCTGCAGGAGAAGCTCAAGGACGCCCAGAAGGAGCAGCACGAAGCGGATCGTGAGACGGAAGAGGCGCGGGCCGGCGTCACACGCATCATGAATACTATCAGATCACTGCAAGGAGGCCAGAGCAACTGGATCGAAGCGTATCCAAATCACAGAAAGCTGAATGAGTTACTCAATGCGATCAAGTCTGAGCGCAGGTTCAGAGAACCACCAGTCGGGCCTCTCGGTCGTCACGTCAAGTTGGTGAAGTCTCAGTGGGGCCGGATCTTGGAAAAGCAGTTCGGTCAAGCCTTGAATGGGTTTGTTGTCACAAGCAGGCAAGATCAGAATACACTGTCTGTTCTGATGAACAGGATTGGCTGGTACGTGTTTACTTCTCATTTCGTCGACGAAGCTAACAAATCTAGGTCTGCTCCAATATACATTGGCAAAAAGGCGCACATAGATACCACTGGGAGTGAGCCTCCGGATGAACTTGTGACATGGATGAGAGCTCTTACGGTAAGCACGGTCTTCTGCGCGAATGGTGTAAAGATATCCAGCTGACCAATACACAGATCGAAGAAGACCTTGTTCGAAATCAGTTTATTATCAATCAGTCGATCGAGCAGACAGTGCTCATCGAGGACATGAAGGAAGGTGCCCATTTCATGGATGCCCGTGGAAAATCGACCGAACATGTTAAGATGTGCTTCACTTTTGCAGATGGCGACACTCGAAAAGGTCGCGTCATCAGCTACACCAACAACGGAGGTATCAACAACAGCCCGATCGCGGAATACTCCGGACCTCTGCGTATGCAGGTAGATGAGCCTACACAGATCAAGTGCGAACAAACGATCCACATGTTTGGAAACTTGCTAACTAGATATGTAGGACAGAGGAGAGAAATCTCGCTCAGGCTCAAAAACAACTTGAGGCTTGTGAGAAGATCTCTAGTCAACGGCTTGATCAGGTCAATACATGCAAGTCTCGGATACGAGACCACGAACGCCAGAAGAAAGACCTTCAAATTGCTTTCCAACGTGCCAACAAAGAAGTGGACCGACTTGAGAACGAATTGGACGAAGCAACTCCTGATGCAGCAGCTATTCAGGTGCGCGAGGCAGACCTTGCAAAGGCCCAAGAAGAATTGGTGATAAGTGAGGGAACATTTGAAGATTTGAAAATCTCAAAATACCAGCTTGATGATGAGAACAAGGCGAATAAACGGGAGATGGATGAAGCGCAAAAGGTTGTCGCTGACTACCAGTTCCGCCTCGAGAAGGCGCAATCGACGGTTCGAAAAATGCAGGGCACGCGAGAAGAACAGCTCAAGCTCAAGAATGCCGCAATCGACCAGGTTGCCAAAGCTGAAGACATCAAGAAGCAGTGGCAAGCAGAGCTAGCCGATCAACAGGCCCTGCTGGTAGAAGTGATTGATGGTGCGAAGACCATCTGTGAAGAGCGTGTTTTTGTCCCCCCTGACAAGACATCTGACAAGCTCCAAGAGGCGATGGCCAGGATGGAGAAAACAAGAAAGGAGACAGAAAGGGAGCTCGGTGGATCGCAGCTGGATCTTACTCGGGCGGCAAGTGAAGCGAAGCAGAAGCACCACGATGCAATACAGGAGTATGAGGACATCGACAACTTGTGTCGTGTAAGTATAGTTGCATGTACGATTTTGACTTCTGCTAACATGGTACAGCAACTCATGAAGACCCTGGATAACCGACGTCTTCGGTGGAAGCAATTTCGAAATGGCATTTCTGTCCGGGCGCGGGTCACCTTCAACTATCTGCTGAGCGAACGCAAATTCAGAGGGACGCTTCGTATCGACCACGAAAAGGCTCTTCTTGATATTCACGTAAGTTTGAACATTAGCCCGACGCCGCACAATGCGCTGACTTTGCAAGGTTCAACCAGATATCACAGAGCGAAGCGGAGATGGTAGAGAAACCAAGACGCTCTCTGGAGGAGAGAAATCCTACTCTACCGTGTGTCTGCTCCTCTCACTATGGGATGCAATGGGCTCACCCATTCGTTGTCTCGACGAATTGCAAGTTGTCCAAAGTCCCCTTTTCCCTGCACTAGCTAATTAATTGTCCCAGTGACGTCTTCATGGACAATGTCAACCGTGAGAGAAGTTTACACATGATCATCGAAGCTGCTCGCCGCTCAATCGGTCGACAGTTCATCTTCATCACCCCACAGTCGATGAGCAGCGTCACCCAAACCTCGGACGTCAAGATCATCAAGATGTCGGACCCAGAGCGTGGGCAGACAGCACTGAACATGGGACGAAGTTGAGATGCCCCTGGGATACGGCGTTGATTTGTTGAGCATTCTATCGGCGTTGTTGTACGAGGCTACTAACCATGGAGTTTTTGGATGGTTATACCCGCTCACAAAGGCAACTTTGATTTCATGGCAAGCAGTATACATGTATAGTACCGTAGTTTCAGTGCAGACGCAAGACTTGGATTGTCTCCGCAGTTGCATGTACATGCGCAATGGACGGATGCATGTACGCCTAGCATGGTGAAGTAAATCAGTCGAATTTTGCTATGTGGAGAAACTGGTTGTGTTGACTCTCGTATCAAGGTGGTCGTAGGACGTGTCAGCTCATTTGCCGCGCAAAGCGTAGTTGCGGCGTAAGCGGCGGCCGGGGCTGTTGTACAGGGAAACGGAGTTGGCATGATGTGCACAGGGTCTCTTGGCCAACCACGTCGATTGCGAGGTCTGATACAACACTTGCACTCGACGGCTCGCTGGCAAACCTTGGGCACATGTAAGAACCGTGTTCTCGTGCTGTTCCCGCACTCGGCTTCCCACCTCCTCCGGGAGCCTATATGCTGCCCCCCACGACGTGTCGGTCCCACACACACCATGGCCGACTCCCCACCCTCAACACCCGACACTCCACGAACTGCCTCGCCGCTACCTTCCGAGAGGGACCTTGCCCGCGCCTTTTCGCCCTCCTCGGACGATGCGCATACCGCCGAGATGCAAGCTCACGCCGAGGGTGTGTGGATGAGCGCCCCAGCGCCGAGCATGGTGAATGCGACGGAATCAGCTGAGCAGGGCGTAGAATCGAAGGGGAAGGAGAAAGCCACCAAGGGCCCACTGAAGTTGCTGGACCTGCCTATGGATATCCTGAAGGAAATCATACACCAGGTGAGTAGGGCGGGCTTACGCGCAGGGCCTTGCAGGTGCGGCACGGTGTATGCTGACCAGCAACTCAACAGCTTCCACACACAAACGACCTCACCTCGCTCTGCCTCTGCCACTCGGCCCTCCATCGTCTCACGATCCCGTGCATATACTCGCGTTTCGACATTGTGTGGCCGGACGAGAGCACCCACAACGAGCCTCGCGCCGGCGTGGACGCCCTTACCTATGGCCTGGCGACACTGGTCATGGGCGACGACTGCTTCCCCCACCAGAACCGGCTGCGACTACAGGGACAGACGCCAACTTCCATACTGAGGACTGCTGCAAACCCATACCCCGTACCGCAGCGGCGGTTCGGCAACTACTACGGACAGTTCACAAAGAAGTTCTCACTCGGGAATGGACCGCAAGCATGGGTTCAGGAGTACATGATTACAAAGGAAGGCGGAAAGATGCTGGGAACGCTGGTAGCGCTTGCTATTGCGCGCATGGTCAACCTCGAGACATTCGTGTGGGACATGCCTACGGGTGTGCTTCGCGATGTCTGGCTTGCCCTGTCAAGCCTCGCGCATAGGAGTGATGGCGAGGAATGCCGTCTGGACCGGCTCTGGATACGATGGCACGACAACACAATCGATGCGCCAATCCCACCACCCGCACCGCCCATGATACTCAACAACCAGAACTTACCTCCGCCCCCAAACACTACGCATCCAAGCGGTCTTGGCACCGTGCAGGCTCCCATAGTCGTAGTGCCCCCGTACGCACCGAGCAGCATATCTGCCCTAGATCGAGTTGAGCACCCTACCTTTTCCGCCATACCTGCGCTGAAGAGCTTGAGTGTCTTGGATATCGACGAACTCCCATACCTCGATGAGATGAGCATCCTGATCGCAAGGTCCCAGAGGAAGCTACGCGAACTAAGAATTGGCATAGCTGCTCACGCACAGCAGCGAGACTGGGTGACGGTTTGGGAAGGTGAAGGTCTACAGCAAGTCGACTACAATGCTACAACGACGGCAGCCTCTTCAATAGGAGAGAAGAGGCTAGGAGGTGTTCTGGGCATCCTTGTTGGCCGCATACACAACATGCGCCATTCAGAAGAGTCTCCGTCTCACAAGTCTGGCGCTGCTGGTGTCACGGAGCGATCAGTGGAAGCAACGCCGGCCAAGTCGGCCGCATCCCTACCCCTGCCATCTATCGCCTCGCTCTCGTTACAAGAACGGGATCTGGAGCAGGACGTAGACCATTTTGGTAACCCGATGGAAGACAACTCTATAACGGAGGGCGTTAGTCTGTTTAGCGACAACCAGCCGAATGGTTCTGACCAAACTGCACAGACTGCCAACACAGACAACTCGGCTTCGAAGACATATGCAGAGTCTCCTTCTCATAGCGAGACCGCCAATTCACAAGACGAGCCCCTACTGACTGGCAAACTGAAGCTAGAAGTCTTGGAACTCGAACGCGTTCCTCTCTCTGTCCCTGTTCTTCGCAGGGCCTTTGACTGGTCGATTCTGTCGACATTGACTCTTCTCCATTGCAGCAACCATGAACAATTGTGGAAGATACTGCGAAGGACATATACCCCTCGTCCCCCTTACCCCGGCTCACCATCTTCGTCCAAGGCGTACAAGGCGTCTTACACTCTCCGGACAGAGTATCAACTCAACCTTAAGCGAATTCACACCAATACCGTGTCCCCATCGCTGATCACTTTCCTTAAAGAAACACTGGCGCCCAATAGTCTTGAGGTGCTCTTCCTCCAAGAAGGCCGGTCTTACTCATCTACGGTGACAGTAGACGCAATCTACAAGGGGCCGTTGAAGAGACACCGAGGTAGTCTGAAGAAATTAATGATTGACAGTGGCGAGAAAGGACCAGACGGACATACGAGTGCTAGTTCGAGATGGAGACGATGGATGCTCAACCGTGAGATTCTGACATACATAACAAGCGGTCGTATGAACAGCCTGCGAGAACTCGCAGTGTCTATCGATTACAAGGATTGGGTATGTTGCACCTCCTTGCAAGTTGGATACGTTTGACTAACTTTTGTAGCATCACTTTCTTCAGCGTCTTCCGTACATCCCTCACATTCGCTCTCTTTATATTCCCTTTATTGCAGACCACGCACATGGCAGCAACATAGATCCGCGCGAGCTCGCCTACCAGATCCTCGACATTGTGCACCTGCGACCGGAAATCGAGCTCTGCTACATGGGTCTGTCTACTAAGTGCTTCGAGATACTGGAGAACCGGCCATCGAACTATGATCTACGGCACGATGGTATGCACGCTGATGGTAGCGGCTCTGCCTACGCAACACACGATCCCATGCTTTCTGACGACGAGAGCGAAGCCACGGAAGACGAAGATGATGACGACATGGACGAAGGCGCTATGCCGCCTGGTGGTGACGATACAGAGAGCGAAGCGAGCGATGATGTTGATGTGGAAAGCGATGACGAATCGTTTGTGCAAGACTCGCAGAGAGGCCCCAAGTTACGTGTTCGAGAGATACTCTTCTACGAGGAACGAGTCGAGGCGTTCAGAAGGCGACACGGCGTACTAAGGCCTTGAGATGATGGGATTGATACGACAGGTACGGTGTTATATAGTGTTACTGCGTCATTTACTATGTGCATGGAATGGAGCATGGAAGGGAATGGAGTAGGACGGCGTATATGGTAGATATCCTTGATAGTTCTTCATCAGGTATGTGGTCTCGAGACCTAGGAATCTTTTGTGCGCGAAGTCAGATGGCTTGATGCGTTTCAGGGCAATTTAATGTTGGATGTTAGAAACTTATCATCATCTAATTGAGCATTGGTAGTGAAAGTCGACTTGGTACCTTCTCTTCATGTGTAATTTCTATTGACGCGTTAGGATACCTAGGTACCTCCCTAGGAAAGACAAAGATAGCCCCACGTGAATACGCGTTGTGCATGGCCCGAGCTCGATTGGTGACGGTCGCGACTGCTGCATGCGAGAGCAAACAGTATTACCAGCCCGACACCCAACCATGAGCAGGCCTGTAGTATCCGCATATCTACTGCCAGAACGCCCGTCACTCACACGCCTATGAGAAAAAAAACCCAAATCATCTCGAACACGAACCTAAACACTGGCCTAGTGGGGCCCACAGCGTCTCCGTCCCGCCATGGACCATTCGACCCTCGTCTTCGCGTCCGTCTTCCCAGTCCTCTCCTTCTCACATAGCACGCCGACGCCGGTTGCGACACCGGATCTGGGTCACATAGCGCCAGGTACCTCGTTTGGGAGTCCCTATGCTCTGCGGAATTCTGAGAGCCGGACGCCAGCGCAAGCACAGGGCCAGGGACAACACAGAGCAGTCAAGCGCAACATAGCATGGAGCTGCGCAACACGATTCCTGAGTTTACCAAAAGACGTCAATTGCGTTTTGAGAACACAAAAGAATAGAGAAGTCGAAGAAGCGCTGAGCTTTTTGTTGAATGGAGAGGGCAAGAGTGATGATGGGAAGGAAGAGACTCTGGTTGAATGGTATACAAACGAGTGCAGGTTACACTTTGCGAACCACGTTTGGCCAGCGCTAGAAGATCTATGGAGGGACGAGGTTGAGCTCGAGCGGTCGTGGGATATTCTTGACGAAACCCAGCGCATCCTCGAGCAAGTGCAGAACGCGTATCTCCAACCTTTCACCGAGCACTTGCTGCCCCTTGTACGGCAAAACGCCAGTAACACGACCCTCCGGCCGAGCAGATCTACACAGATAGCTGACTCAGATACTGCGAGTGTAGCCGATTGGAAGTTCCGCCGGGATGTACAAGCTGTCTTTGCACATTGTCTGCCACTACAACGATATGGGAAAACGCTGAGCTATGTTCTTTACGACGCAGGATGCCGATTGTTTCGCATATATACCCGAAACGACGGTATGCAGCCGAGTACCACGCCCGAGGACACGCAAGAGTTCAGGAAGCGGATGACCATGCTGCTACAAAGCCTCGAGCGCGTTGGGCTTGGTGGTGATAGTGCACAGAAGGCTTTTGCACATGCGATGAACAAGCTGTTTGACTCCTTCATCACAAGCCACTACTTAAAGGTAGATTGGTACTCCAAGAAGTCCATCGTGCCGCAGTTAAGGTTGTGGA